GCTCACTTTTCTCTTTCCATGAACAGAGGTGATCTCTGGTTACCAGGGTCGTTTCCATTTGCCCATCAGTAACTGGGGAGCAGAAGATAAGAAGGAGAATGGTGACAAAATGATGTTTTCATTGCAGCTGACTCACTCATCGTCCACTGCTTATTTCTGAATATGTTTCTCGGTGGATTTCATCCACCTATTTCTTCTCATGCTCTTACGATCATTACCCTCTCTCTTCCCCCGCTGTTCATTGATCCCCTGTACTGTGGTCAGGGTATGTGTTTGGTTCATTCAGCTGCAATAGAGTTTCAGTTGAGAAATGTTTAGCAGAAGGAGACAACATGTGCACACCTTGCAATATTACTAAAGGCCTTAAGAGCCAGGACATCACAGAAAATATGATATAATAGATAGCAGATACTGCAGGCATTTGTCATTCATCAAAATATGATCACCAAGGCAGTAGGACATGTCCTTTCTTTCTGCAGCCTTCCCAACTTTTTGATCTCATTTTTTATCCCCTCTATCCCTTCTCTGTCAGAGTACAGTAATAAAGATTGATCTTTAAGTACTAATTAGCATCTGCTTTTGTATGCACACTGCCAGTCTGTCCATTCCTGACCATCCAATCAGTTTAACAGACATGACAGACCTTGTCCAATCAGATTAAGGCTAGTGGGATGAAACAGGCTTCCTGTGTGGAGCTGTCACATTGTGGGCCCAGTATCTGATAGATGTGATTAGGGCTAGAAGACTCGCATCATTTACCCTTGAGTTTCTGAAATTGTATGTACGATCATGCACTTTATGTGGTTGTGGAGATATAAACTGAGATTAGAAAATAATATAAACAGTACAGTGAGATGTAAAACCGGTAATATTGTTACCGAGACTGTTATTTGATTTTGTCATTATATTAGCCCCAATCCTGTCGTGATGCCAGTATTCATACAGATGTGGATTTGACATTTTGTAACTCAAACATCAGTTCTTCATTTGGCCATTTACAGTACTGTATCTGATTGGGGTGTGTTTTATAGTGTTACTATAATGTATGTCTGGAGGCAGGTATAAATGTATAATTCATAGTGATTATATTTAAGGCCATTCCTCTAAGCAGTTAGTTTTTTTTTCTTCATGAAGACAAGACACTAAATTTCATGATCCACTTGCACTCATCTTTTTTTTTTAGGTTTAACATTATTTTTCACATTCCCAATGACATAATTCATCCTTTCATACTTTGCCATTTCAACTGGTTGAGTTCAGGGATACAGGGAACATGAGAATGAATGATGAAACATAGGGATAATGTATTGATGTCTCAGTTTTGTTTTTTGTTTTTTAATTAGATGATCTTTGATTTCTTACTATACTGTACGTGTGTACATACAGTACACATGTCCATGTTTACTGTATATCAGTGTCCATGTTAGAAGAAGAAGCCCAGGTCTCTCTTGGGACCTGGACATGAAAAGAGAGGGAAATTTGACAATTCTGGTAATTTTGAGGGGGTTTTTTTGCCAGATTTTGCCTCCGTGTGTGTGTGTGTGTGTGTTTGTGTGCCCTACTGTCACAGAACAGGCTTTTTCCTCTGTCAAAGTTTGGCCACTCTGTCTTTCTTTGCCTCCTTGTATCCACTCTGCTGTCACCTACCCTTATCCTCAGTATGTCAGACTGCTTTCCTGCCATTCCTTAAAGTATTTTTCTCCATTATGATGACTCTTTAAGAAGTGGCAAAATAACCAGTCAAACCAGGAACAGGGATGTCTGTGCAGCAACAGTGTCTAATATATTCTTAAGAATTTTTAGTTCAGGTTTAAAAAAGGACAGAACAAATTGTTCCATGTGGCACAAGGCATACAATATTCAAATAACGTAAACAATATGGTACATATAAGCTGCAGCACATTGCGTTGCTGATTCCTCTAAACCTGTGTGGGTATTTAATGTGAACTCTGCAGTCTTGTTGGCACAGTGTCTTTGATCAGTTCTCCCTTCTGCATGCTGTATTCCTCGCTGTTTGCATCCTGGTGTTTCACATCATTGACTTGTCGCCTGGCGAATTGTCTACCAGGGCTGTAGTTCTCATTAGCACCTGTACTGACATGACTGGCATCTCATATGAGAGTTGTTTTTATATTTCCATCTCGTATCAGCTACCTCTTGCCTGTTGTATCCAGTTTCCTCTGAATGCTTTGGTTTTCCCTCAAGTCTCCTTCTTCATTCTCATCCTCCCTCTGTTTCATTCTGTCTACCTCCTTCTCTCCCCTGCTCTCTTCCTCTCACTCTGTCTTTCTCACTACCAGGGCTTTTTAATTAATGGCGAGCCATGATGCTTATCTTATCAGCAGATCGCTGCTTTCTATTAACTACACTGACAGTGCTAGGAGGCTGCAGGGGATGGATGGCACACACACAAGCTTGAACACACACACACACACACACACACACATACACAGTCATGCACAACACACATAAACCATACCTGCATACAGAAAAATACAGGCAGATGAAGATGAATATACACTACGTGTATAATATGTGTGTATGCACACACTCATACTAACACTGACAAACTGACAAACTGACACACAAGCAAGCACAGAGGTAGGTGTGTCCACATGGACACACATCATGATCCTATTTTAATCTGGTCTCACACACACACACACACACACACACATAAACAGCCCACTTTGATGGTATCGAGCTGTGTAATTTAAGGAGCGTTGTTTGAGGGTCTCTCCTTCTAAATCCCCTAAATGCCTCGGGAATCCCTCCGTCTTCTCTCCTCTACCCTTCTCTTTCAGTCCAGCTATCTGGCTGAATGAACACTTATCATTCAGTAGATAAAAAGCCATCCATGCCGGTGCCCGCTTTATCTTTGAGACCAATGTTTACTCCCTGTGAACACATTGCTTCTCACAGATATTTCATAGACCACATTGGCTTGATCCCACAAAGATGAGAGTGCAGTGTTGAGGCTTCATTTTATGCTGCAAAAACTCCAGACACACACCAACGGTCCTCAGCCCCATCAGTTGTAATTCCCCAGGCAGATCAATTATCCCATATTCACCATGTTTTCATGTCTGGGGCAGCTGAGCTAGGAGGCAAAACAAATAATTTTTCCCGATTGTTTGATGGGGATTACAGTGAGCCGTATTTTGCACAGACCAGTGAACATGAGAGCAGAAACAACAAAATCAATCTTCAAATACCCAATCAATTTGTGTCACAAAACTTCCACATAGTTTTTCTTTAGATCACATTGAGAGTTGACAGTTTTGTGAAAGCATTGGGGGGGGGGGCAGAAAAGCAGTTCACAGAGTGTTTATTAGAGGAAATTTTAGTTTGTGGAGACACATAATCATGCAAACAAGTGCACACACTCACCCACACTTTCCCTCACAAATAATTTCCTCATTTAGGGGACTGTAACAAAACAATTATCAGCAGGGGATAATACAACAGTGGAGCCCATTTGCTGGGTATTAAAGGGATAAACATTTATTTTACTTTGTCCATTGTGCTCAGATGAGTGCAAACTCCTAATGGTAGAGGGTATAGAACATAACACACCACCACTACAGACAGCATGCAGGCAGTAGTAATGCTGAGCTGTGCAGTTCTACTAACTTTTTACCCCTTTTATCGAAAAATCAATCAATCAAATCAAAACCATTTATGAGTATCAGTTCTTGGTTGTAATAAAGTTCTATTTAGTTGCTTGACTTATGCTTCACTACATCAGGATAATGCAGAAATAAACTGCTGTCCTTTAGCTTACCGATCACATGTCATCTCTACTGTACGATTTTCACTTTTGCCAACCACTTTGGATCAGAAGTTAATCTCTGCAGTGTTTATTCATTGTTTTTTGCACTGTACTTTGCATTAAACATAAACATAAAATCACACACTATGCAGAACATACTGTGATTTGTTTATTTTTTTTTCCCTTGGAGCCTTTACAAGTCGCACTTTTGTGTTAGTCAGACATAGTGGCTACCACTGTCACACTTAAAAACAGTTTCAAGCTTTTATCAACTCACTATGTTGAATCATCTAGTCATAAAGTGCTGAAATACTTTTATTTATAAGACTGTTCATGAATACTTTCTGCTTAACCTGCTGCTTTACTTGTTTTTATTTTATGTGCTTGTGATGAGTAAATGTAATGGTGCTTTGGCAAATCAGGCCTTCAGTGTGTGTTTGCCTCATTTTTGTTCAACTATGTTATTTAGCTTGTAAGGGTATCTCCCATTAGGAAAAAAGCACTTTGACTGATAAAAGAACAAATTGTATTTTAACATTTAAATCTTTTATTTATGGATTCCTCCGTGCTCAGGAAAAATAGGCACGTTATCCCAGTTGTATTACCCAATAATTGTGAATTAGGGCTGCACTCAATGGTAAGAAATCACTTTATTCTGCAAGAAGGCAGAATGCTTTCGGCCATTCAGCCTTCATCAGTGTCACAGTCTCCCAGTACAACTGCTTCTTTAAACAGTACACACAGGTGAAACCTCTTGAGGTAATTAGCCTGCACCTGGTTGAGTAGTCATGGATGAAACAAGCTGAGCTCTTAGAAGACGGGTAAAGTGACAATATATTCAAACCCATGTGAAGTCAAACCGTGGGCTTTCTAATTTAACTGCATCAAAAAGGCTGATGTTATACAGAAACAAGATATAATCAGCTTTTCCACAGGTCTATTCAGGCATGTAGCCGTTCATTAAGCGGTGGATATCTGAGCTTAACAACACAAACACTGTAGGCTTATAGAAAAAATGGTTGGACAATTAAATCTCTTTCATAGATCTTCTGCCATACCTGTCTGACTTTGTTTATATTGTGTAACCATGTTAGTAAATGTTTGAATATCTGCATCTTTGGGTATGCTGGGAAGTGATTTTATTGGACATCTCTCCCTTGTTTCAGTGAGATTCTGTATTAAAGTGCCAAAGGAATCAAAGTGTCTCTGCCTGTCTGTCTTTCTGCAGAGAGTTTGGGTGGAGAGATCCGGAGCTGCCAGAGGTGATTCAGATGTTACAGCACCAGTTCCCGTCGGTTCAGTCCAATGCAGCAGCCTACCTACAGCATCTCTGCTTTGGAGACAACAAGATCAAAGCTGAGGTTTGTATTTGTGTACAGTGTGTGTGTTTGCGCGCTTGCATTCGTGTTTTTACTGCTGGGTGAGTGTTTGGTTACGATCAGTGTTGTTGAGAAGGGAATAATTGTAAATTACTGTGGATGATAAAAGCCACAAAACGGTGCATCTGCTGTAAGCACCCAAGTGAATACTGTACCTTCCTATGAGCTGCAGTCAGAACAATTCAAGCTGTTTTACATTTTCCTCCAGTCTTTTTTGAGAAATAGTGGATTAACTAACCAGTTCCACACTGATGTTCTGCATGATAAAGCTTTCCATCCCTAAGCTGTGCCTTCTATTACGATGTATAGTGGCAATAAAGTTCAATTAGTCCCCAAGTCATAAGTTTGTCTCTCAAAAGCAATTTTGTAGGAAGTCCCTTTGGAACTCACTAATAAACCCTTTAATAAGGCTAGCAGCACTCTAAATGGCAGTGGCAGATGTAGATGCACTCACACCCAAACCCGCTGATACAGAAAGTCTTTTTCTCTTACCTCAAATGCCCCTCATCCACACGTACCGACCTTCCCACCCTATATCACCCTAAAAATCAATATACCAGTACATGCAGGCATGGGCACTGGCATTCGTTTTCTTTAGGAAATTAATTTCAGTAAAGTCTTTTAACATCTGTAATTGCATTCTCATTGATTAGCAATGCCTCGTTGTTAAAAAGCTTGTTAATACACAAAGAAACACAAAACAGAGCATTGTATATGCATATTCATGCAAACACAATTCAAAAAGCTCAATATGCAAACTGGGGCGGAAAAAGAAAAAAATATTGCAAAAGCAATTAAAACAACATGACGATACAGCTCATTTTCACCATTTGCACCATTTCATTTACATCCAACCCCACAAACAGACACACACTTGCATACAAAAGCATCACACTTCACTCCATTCCCACATCCAGACAGCTCTGAAGGAAACATAAGTGTTCATGTCTTCTGTAATGGATGTAGTTATTACCTGTATGGAGGTGTGCAACAATGAAAAAGTAGCAACTGTGTACTGGCAATAAATGCCTGGATTGTCTTATCCAGGGCCCAAGGCACTGCTAAACACTATATACACCAATTTAGTCTGGTTGATATCAGCCAGCCAAAGCTGATGCTTCACATCAAATAAAAGCAGGTATTCACATACATATATCTACATGCATGCACAAGTTCATACCATGACAGAATTCTTCCTGTACATTATGGTGTACTCTGAAATGTGCCCTCAACCATAGTTCATACAGTAAATAGCTTTTTAATGAAAATTAAACTTGACAAATGATCTCTAAGCCAGATATGGGACATTAGTTTGGTTAAAGAGCCTTTTGTTAGAATGAAGTGATTTATTGTGAAACCTGTAGCGTTGCTGTGCTTTTATACTGTGATTGGAATCATGAATTTGTTTTGTTATCATAAATAAGGACAGCTTTGTTTTCTCCAAAGTTATAGTGCATATCTTCACAGAGTGTAACATTTACATTGTTGTTATCATACTGGAGAAATATGTTATGTTGTGACTCAGATGTTAACCAGCTTCAGTGACTCCTTTTAGCCTTTAGCTGTTGTTTTACCACACTGAGCCCTGTGTGTTGTGCCTTTGGAGTCAGCTGCACGCCTACTTCCTAGGAGACTACCCACTGTACTAAAGCATCTCCATTTATCGATACTTGATCCCACTGTGCACTGATGAATACTTAAAGTAATTGAAATTTCTTTGTAGCCCTTTCCAGCTTCATGCAAATCAACAATTCTGGATTATAAATCTTGTGAGATCTCTTTTTGTGAGCCATGGTTCGCATCAACAGTTTTTTTTTTTTTAATAACCTACACCTCAAATCTTGTTTCATTTACTGGACTCTAGGTTTGATACCCATGACTCCAATTAGCTTTTGTTTGTATCATTCATTTTGAGATTTATATGCTTTTTTGAACCTACACTGTGAATGTGGACAATAAAAGGATCAGTGCATAGATTGTGTTTGTTCGTTATTATAATTTAGATGAGGACTGGATCATATGTTTAGACATAAGTGCAGTTCATTCCAATTGGTTCACTTACTTTTTCTGGCCACATACATTATTAATATGCTGTGGATGGCAGTTACAGTATTTGTTATGAACTCAAAAGACTAAATGCTTGTGTTAAGTCAGCCAGATGACACAAATGACAGGGGACACACTGTGCAGCTAAATATTTTACAGCCACAACATGGCTGCTGCTTGTTGCTAAAGAGATACTCTGCAGGGGTAAAGAAAGCGAGAAAGGCGAGAACAGAGATGGATCAGAGGCACAAGGATAAAGAGGGAAATGGAGAGGAGGAAAAAAACGGGTGAAGTAAAGTTAATACAATAACAAATCAAGTTTTAGATTTTTAAACCGTGAACTGTACAAACTGCAAGCTGTTCAAGAGCCATCAGCATGTAAGATGAAAAAGACAACCAATAATCCGCAGTAAACACTAAGATTGTATGTTTCTGTCCCCTTTAACACAGTGCATACCATATGTACAGTTTTAATTTTTGATCAGTGTAAAATTGTGTGTTGAAGCAATAGCATAATTTTTTAGCCCACTGCCAATTATGTAAATATAAATGCTGAGTAGTTCACTGCTGACCCCTTTAACTTGCAATGCTTTTTTTTTTTTTTTATATAGCAGGTGTATTTTTCAAAAGAGGAAAAACCTCTTCTATGAATGATGCCTTTTTGGCACTTAAGCAAAACAGTTTTTAATCCCTTGCTTTAGGGTTTTTCTACTCTCTAAGGAACCTTAAAAGGTGCATTAGCTAAGATTTTACACATTTGCTGATAAATCAAGTGAAACTGGGACAAGACACATCGTCTCTCACCTGTACTGCTTCTCGTCTCTACACTGTGTTGTCAGAGTATTCCCTATAAATTAGCCCCACCCGCCACCTAGTGAAGAATATAAGAAGGCTTTTTGAAAAATGAATATTAATTTAAAGCAGCCAGCTAAGGAGGACCTTTCATTACCTGCAAGTCGGACCACATCAAAACAGACACAAATACATCCTCTACAAACAATGTTAGCAATATGTATAAACAATGAATCATAAATCACTAAACTGTCGACCCCATCACTTGAAATTGTGCCACAGAAATGCTGTTGTAGAGCCAGGATGCTCTAAGCTTAATTTGTATTTGTCCACACCTACATGTAGATGTCAGTGCATACCTACACAGCGATGAGGTTTATGGGTAAATGTAGATCATCAGAGATCCAATGTGCGCACTCTCTCTCAAACTTCAACTATGTGTTGTGTGGAGCTGCATATCCTGCACGCCAGTTGGTTAATCCGACTCAAAGCTGCCTGATAATTGGTATGCTGGTGGGTACTCACATCTCAGAAAATGTTGAACTAAATGTCTAAATTGCCATCACTTGGCTAGACTTACCACCTGTTCTTAATCCAAGTGATTACTTTGTTGCCTGAAAAAAATATCAGCACTTAATAAAGTTCCATAATACCAGTCCTAGGACAGAAATTATAAGAGCTCCATTCCCATTTCCTAACTTCTTCTGTGTTTTCTGTACTTTGTTGCCCCCAGTCAGAACATTAATGCTCTCAGAAGTATAAAACCAACAGCTATGAGACCATCTCCAACCGACAGACACATACTGCATGTTCGCATACGTGCAGTGACGCAGAAGTATAAATCTGGCTTTAGTCAGCTGATGCTTGCTTTGTGCTGAAGGCTGCCTTTTGTGCAGTTTGTCACAACTAAGCATCCATAGTTCATGCTGTAGCTAAGAAACAGGACAGGAGGGGGCAAAGAGCAGTTGGTGTGAGTTTGTTTTGAGTCTAGACCCTCTAGCTCCTGAAAAGAAATTTGATAGAGTAGCTTGAAAGAATGTACCTTGTTTGGTCACTTTGGTTTAGTGGCCTAGAGTGCTGAGACTTTGTAAGTTACTAATTCATCACTTTCCTCTCCACAGCATTCCCTCCCATGCTCCATAATGTGGTATCAGAATGCTTCTACATCTTTATCAGTGGTCATAAGTTACAATTAAACCACTAGGGATCACACACTCAGCAGCACATTCACTCTCATCCTAATACATTGAGATTATTAAGCACTCTCGTTATCCCCTGCTGTGAAGAGATATGGTTTGTGTTTTTCTTTGTTCCCTTACTGTACTCTTCAAATAACAGATTAAAGCCTCTAGTGTGTTTGTCACAGTACTGTAGATTCTCACCATCTGTGACTTGTACTGTTGATACTGCTGCAGAATTAGCTGTGTCCCTGCTTCAGAATAATATTAGGCAGCCATAGGTTAATGCCATGTTTGACCCAGTTTAGAATACTAAAGAGGGAAATGTTAGCTGAGGTCCAGGAAGTCCCTGAAGGTTCAAGGGGCCTAAAATGCACTTAGCCCTAAATTAAGTATCAAGTTAAAATAAAAGTCCTTGCATGTAGCCCAGTTGCATAACATAACTATAATGGGCCACGGTGCAAATTTTTTCCCATGCCCTACCCCTGTCCCAAATACACATGCATGCTCTTGGACACATGCATGCACGAATGCACATGCACACAAAACCACTCCAGACACTTGCACAGAAAGGTTTACCATGCAAATCCTATCCTGAAAAACTAGCCTTTGATCAGCATCACAGACAGTGTGACTAATCTAGGCTAATTAACAGCATAGCCTAGACTCTAACCTCCACAGCCTAATTTCACCAACTGTCAAACATCCAAAAATATTCAGCCAGTCTAACTACACTACCAAATCAGCACAAAGGTACAGTAGCCTAAACTGTATGTTGATAAGCATAGAACAAATAGCATCAAGAAAAGCACAGAAACTCATTGATCTTCACATTAATGCAGCAGTCAAAACTCTTCCCACATGGGCCCCTGAGACCCGCTGGGCCCACCGCTGCACCGTCGACAGTTAAGCCAGTTAACCTAAATACAGTATGTGTTCCTGAATGTGTATATGCATGAAAGGTTAAAAGGTTCAGCACAGCTTCACTGTGTCTCCTCTCTCATGCATACAGTGTGGTGCTGATTAGTGTTGATGTTCCGTATGTGGTGACTTGTACACACTTGTTAGGTTTCACATGCCACCTGAGTACGTGTATTCTGCTGCTTGCTGTTACACTGGCAACACATCTCATTCCCACAATCCCAGCTGTCACCACTTCTAAGCGTTACCACTGCAGTGTTGTCACTATGGGTTACTAATAGTCGTGGCTGCCAAGGAACAATGGGAGGCAAAGACACTCCAGTCTTCACTTCTAATCTTTTGCACTTGGAATAGAGGAATAAGAGGTATTGGCAAGCCTTGCAGGTATTCCAGTGGCAACACAGACTAATAGCATTATGGCTTTATGGAATAACAGATTAACTGTGACACAAGCATAAAGAGGGAGAGTGGAGATGACTACAGATCAGCACATGACAGGGGAAGGGGAGCAGAGGGAGTGACAGCAGATCAGGTTGGAGAAACTGTATGGCAGAATGGAGCAAGGTTATTCATTGCATCACTTCATCCATTTTAATTGAATAGATAAA